GTGTGTGTGTGTGTGTGTGTGTGTGTGTGTGTGTGTGTGTGTGTGTGTGTTTTAGCTGGGCGATGTCAGCGCTCATTAAGCTGACTGAAACCAGAGCAGCTTCATGAATATGAACTGCTTGTGCTGATTGCCCTGCATGCAGCTGTCCACATCTGTCTCCTGTCAGCAAATTGCAAATTCAAGGTGAATCGGAACAAATTTAACGAACGCAGGCCATGTTTTCCTAAACCTAAACAAGTGTTTTTTAGTGTTTAAAGCTAACCAAACTGTAAGAYGAAGCTAAAGTAAATGTCAAATTAATACATTTGAAAGTAAGAATTTCTGATCCAAGTCAAGTCTGAGCTCGGTCTTGTATGGTGTATTGATTAAGAACTCAAAAGTAATGTTAACTGACTGTTTAACATGTTGTAAAGGACATGAAAGAAAACTTTGTASAGCAAACCATGTCTCCTTCACAGGGAGCTTTAAGTCTGTTCACAGGGACAGCTGCACAGGAAAGGTATCTCTTAAGGTTAAGAATGTGTCAGCAATGTTTCCATGCAAAGGCCTAAAGTGGAAAATGAACAGAGCTGATTGTAGGTGTCATTTTAAGCTGCTTCCTCATGCTTAATTTAATCCAAAGCAGTAGTGCCTCATTATATTTGTTACTGTGTGAACAATCCAAACGGTTGTTTCCTGGTCAGACTCTGAGGAGACGCCCCCGTCGAGCCGCCTGTCCAGCTCTGCCAGCATACAGTTGTTAGGAAACTGACAGCTGTTATTATCTAATCCCACCTCGCTGTCGGTCTACCCCTTTTTTTCCGTCTGTTGCTCCGTATCAAATAAAAGCCTGAGAGGTTCACCTCATAAAACAGGTCTGAGATCAGTATCATCAAAGTCCAGCTGGTTTCATTAAAACAGGATGGTTATGGAGCAGCTTCTCTTTCCAGCTCAGATCTGTGCCTCCATCACCTGCTGCAGCAACATTTATGAAAAGGCTCAAACCCTTTAATGGTAAAAGTACTTTATTTGTCATCAATGCGTGTTCCCATGCAACGATGAAATGTATGCTCTGCAGTTGTGGAGCAACGTTATTATTATGTCCTGATGCATCTCAGTAATCCAGGTAAAAAATCAAAAAGAAAAAAAATTGTATAGGTCTTCTGGACGGGTTCTTCTCTAATGAAACGTTTCGTCTCTCCTCCAAGAGACTTCTTCAGTCTGAGAGTTTCAGGCAAAATTCAGGCTTTTAAGCACTGCCTCCATGTGACTGACACTCACATCACATGGCTATCGTTGACACCTAATTAACACTTATTGTTAACAGGGGGTGGAGTGATACTGGCAATGGCCGCGCTGTAGGAGGGGGACAACTGAAAACGGAGGCCTCCACCTCTGTTTAATGACGGACGGTCTTTCTTCACAAAAATGGCTTCTTTTACTCCTCTCTCAAACCAACGTTCCTCTCTATCAAGTCTGAGAACATCCTCATCTCTGAAAGAGAAACACCCGCAACATACGGAATAGCCAGTTGTTCCGTATGTTGCGGGTGTTTCGGAGAAACTGAGACGTTTATTTTCTAAACATGATGTCCCAGTAGCTTTCAAACCCCAAAACACATTACGGCAAAGGCTGGTTCACCCCAAAGATCCGGTGCCCCGGCACAAACAGAGCAATATTGTATATGCTGTTAAGTGCCAGGAGGACTGCGACCAGTCATACATCGGGGAAACAAAGCAACCACTGTTCAAAAGAATGTCCCAACACAGACGAGCTACATCTAATGGCCAGAACTCTGCAGTTTTCACTCATTTACAGGCCAGCGGTCACTCTTTCAGAGATGAGGATGTTCTCATTCTTGATAGAGAGGAACGTTGGTTTGAGAGAGGAGTAAAAGAAGCCATTTTTGTGAAGAAAGACCGTCCATCATTAAACAGAGGTGGGGGCCTCCGTTTTCAGTTGTCCCCCTCCTACAGCGCAGCTATTGCCAGTATCACCCCACCCCCTCTTAACAATAAGTGTTAATTAGGTGTCAACGATAGCCATGTGATGTGAGTATCAGTCACATGGAGGCAGGGCTTAAAAGCCTGAATTTTGCCTGAAACTCTCAGACTGAAGAAGTCTCTTGGAGGAGAGACGAAACGTTTCATTAGAGAAGAACCCGTCCAGAAGACCTATACAATTTTTTTAACGTTATTATTAGTTCATTAATTATTGTTAGTGTCACACTATTGAGGTCAATCGTTTCTTCCGTACATATTTCGGCACAGATCTTGTTCTGCAATGTTTGTGCTATTTCAACTTTTAAACATCAAAATATGCAGCTGCTTCTGGACATAACAGCTAAAACAGTTGATACTTCAATGATTTACACTTTTTGAGCTATTTAGCCTTTGCTGCTATTTTTTTCAGTTCAACAAAGTTGTCTTCAATATCCTTAAAACTCTTTATGATTTTGCTGCACTTTTTACCTTTTCTTCTGGTTCTGTTTTTTTTCCACTTCTTTGTTCTAATTTCAGCCTCCTTCAGCTTTTTATGATTTTAGCTTCTTCCACTATTATTCCCAACTTTTCTGCTTTATGCTTCTTTCAGCTTCATTCTTCTAGTTTTAGTGTTTTGGGCTTTTTTTTTTTAGCTTCTTTGGGCTAATTTTGTCTGTTTTCTGTTTTTAGCTATTTTCTTTTAATTTGAGTTTATTTTTTCAGCTAAATTTACCTATTAGGCTAGTTTCATTTTTTTTAGCTATTTCTAAACAAAGTGCGATTTTTTTGTACTTGATTTTTGCTAATTTGAAGAATTTTCACTTTTACTTCCTTGTTTTTAATTGAAACTTGTTTCATCTACTTTTAGCTTCTTTTTGGTCATTTTAGCAACATTTTCCCCCTCTTTTCAGATTTTTCATTATTTTTCTACAGGTTTTCACTTTTATTGTCCTACTACTCAGTTGTTCAAGTTTAACTTATTTACAGTTTGGCCATTTAACCTTTTTAGTTTGATTTCAGCAGCTTTCAGTGAAAAATCTTTTAGCAATAAGCATTCGCCTTGCATTTCCCCAGAAAGTGCAATTTCTCTAGTTTAAATTAGCAAGGACTTGAGGGTAATTCCAGATTTTTAATAAAACTATTAGACAATTAAACTTTCATATGATTTATTGATAATTATAAGATTTGTTAGAACTTATACGATTTCTGAACAGCGAGGTCTTTTCAAAACTGACTAAATTCACACTGTTCCTGCTGTGTGTTGGTGCAGAGCAGGAGCGGTGTACGGCTCTGATGATTTACTCTGCCGAGCTCCCTCTGAGCTTTTTGCCTTACAAGGAGAGACAAGGGGAGAGCTCCCACAGTCCTCTCTGGGCTCTGGAAGTCTCTGCTCATTCTTCTTTCCCCTGTCCTCGTCAATACGTCTCTTATATTTGGACTATCCCAGCATGCTACTTTCTTTTCTTTTCTTTCCTCACACTGCCAAGAATGTTTCTGGTTCCCTTTATTTTTCCCCTCCCTCCACTGCGATGCTGTTTGTTTTTCCTCAAAAAGATAAAATACACAGAAAAAGGCCACAAAAAATATGGCGTAATGACCAAGTCTCATCATTTGCCCATTATTCATAGTTTTAACCAGTGAGTGCAGGTCTGCGTTTGCTTTTATCGAATCCTTTTCCAAAGAGAGCAGCATGTTGCAATGATTCAGGGAGCCCCTGTCTCCTTTTATAGCAGAAGAAAAGGGGATTATTTACATAAGCAGTCAGGGTCAAAGCCCTATCATCTATTAGGCTGCACTGACTGGAGCTAAAGGCAGCCAGGATGCGCTGTTTACAACTCTAGGCCTGAAAATAGACTCGACAGAAGCAAATTGGTGACATTTGGCCAAGATGAATATTGGGGTGAAACCTGCTGATTGTRTGTGCCTTTTTGCGGTTGTAACGTGGATTTTTGATAGACAAAGATAATTACATGTTCAGAAAAAAACCTAGCAGCAGCAGCTGMTTGTTGCAATGCTGCTTCTTTAGGCACCWCAACAACAGTTGCTGCACAGGGGAYGGGATTTCTCAGTTACACGCCCACAAATACTTTCAAAGTCAGTCCAGGGATCTTGACTGCGTCTMCCTCGTCGTATTGAAATCTACGTTAACATTTCGGCAGCCTTGTGTTTCCTGTTTGAACCCTACCTGTCCCAAAGCTCTCCTCCCCGCAGAGGGAGCAACGCCCAGAATCCATCAGGTTCCCGAAGTACCTCCAGCCTGTGGGCGTCTCATACAGCGCCAGTTTCATGACRTTGGCAACCCTACGCACAAAACAGGCAGGAAAAGAAACAGACAACGTTGTTACATAGTATCACAAACACATTCATTCATCTAACTTTAGAGTTTTACCACTTCTGTTAGAAAAAGAATCCAGCACACAAAGTCTCAGAGGTTTGAAATAAATTTAAAAAAAACAAATGTTGCATGAGAGCCATCATCTGCCAAAAGTTCATCCAATAACTTAATAAGGCGAACTGCTTCAGGAACAAAGTGAGTCAYGCTTTTAGCTGATGTTCACTTTAGACATGAGTACGTAAGAGGGAGTGTGTGTGTGAGTAGAAGTGTCTGTTGGGGTCACAGGGGGTGGATGATGTGCCAAATATGTGTAAGCAGAAAAGGAAAAACAAGAGAAGAAACGTTTTAAACATACAGAAAAGTATAGTTCTTTTGTATCATTTGCTGGATACATAAGAATTTCTGTGACATAATTTAATTTATGTATTTCCCTCCCAGTTCTTTGGAGGATTTCAACGGCATTTTTGTTTTATGGCCCACAAGTGTTTTGGTCYGCTCTCATCGCTCTGACAGCATACTTTGCAGCAACAGGCGGCAGCTGCTCTCTTGTTTTAAAAAAAAAAAACTGTTAAACATTGTGCACTACCTGGCTAAAACCAAAGTACAGACAGAAACAGTAAAAAATAACACGTTGGAAGGTTTAAAGACCCACCGGTCTTATTCAAAACTAAAATCTTCAGT